AGGTCTGTCTTAGGAACAGGTCAGAGTATGAGGTTACTCTTCTTTATTTGGTTTTATCTGAGTGCTTCCTAATACATCTTGCTAAAATGTCTAGGGCCTGATCCCTTGCTGGTGATCAGAATCTTTTCATTAGTCTAGACTCTCTCTTATTGGCTTATCTTTGATGCATCAACTCAACAGAAGAGGGAGAGTCTCTTAGACTTTAACCAATTTATCTGCTATCACAGTCAGTTTTACTTGTCTCCCTAAACCCAAAGACTGTATGTTTTTTAGTATATCACTTGTTATCCTCTGTTTTTAACTAAAGCTGACAAATTCTATGGGGAACAGATTTTTGTAAGTGATTTCCCTATTGTGTTCTTATGTTCCTTCAATACTTTTACGTGTGGTGCTCTCTAAATGTTATTGTCTCATTTGCTTTATATAACCAGCATTCTTGCCCCACCACTGTTTTAACCCTTCTCTGATAGAGAGTTGAAAGAAAACCAAAAGAGAAACAGGGCTAAGTCCTTGAAATCTGGAGTGGAGAGGGAGTTCTTTCTCCACTTTTTCCTGTAGTCCAGAATTACAGGAGTTGTGCAAAATAAGGGATGAACATCATTTCTGTGGGTGAGATAGTATTTACTTCAGGATTTTCACTTAATTTAATACCAATTAACAAACTCCAAGTTACTGATTTGGGTATTGAAAAAAAACAAGACGATAAACAAATAAACTTATGGAAACATTTTTCTTCTCCTTTCCCCAGGCTCAGTTTCAGTCCAATACCTCTCCTCCCCCCTTTCTAGTCTCAATTCCTCTTGTTTTTACTGTGACTTATGTTCAGTTCTCTCTCAATTCCCTCTGTGAGGTAAAAAGTGGTGCTGAAGGCTGGGGTCAGTGTATAATGATTTCTTTCAGCTGCTTCTTGCTCCTTACTCTTTTTCACCTCCACTGCTCTGTGCATCTTACTTAAAAAACACAGAACCTGGAAGGTCACAACAGTTTGAATAAATATCCATTACAATCTCAATTCTTTATTTCTACACACTAGACTATGTAATAATACAAATTCGCGTCACAAACTTATGGCCTTCTTTGTGCAAGACTCACAGCCAAGAGCATTGCAGCAGTTTCGTTACACATACATTACAAATTCCACTCTTTGTCACTGTAAGGGGGTATCTCCTTTGCAAGAGCAGCAGGATTGGGCCATCACTGATCCCAAGGTCATCTTGCATTTGTTGGGGCAGTTTATATAAGGGAAACAGCCCCCAAGTTAGGCAGATCAATATTTTCTTAAAATCATTATCTGTATCCCAGCAACATCACTTTGGTTGTGACCAGGGGGATGTTGGTCTTTTTTCCCAGAAAATGTGGGGGATTGACCCCAAAAATCCAATCTCCAAGCTCCCCCCACAATTTGCCCCAACACCGAAGAAAAGTTTTCAGACAGGCACACCTCAGCATGGGGGAATCATATTACAATTTATTACTACCACACTAAATACTATAGAAACTAAAGAGCAAATAAATACACAGTATTAATAATAATCCCTACCACCCCTAGACACTCCCACATCAGTTCAGGAGAAGTTTTCAGGGCGATAGTTAAAAGTCTCTCATTGGGGTATCAGGGAAGGGGTTTTCTTGCACCCCCACCAGCCCTCAGCTCCTGTTGAGATCTCCTCCTGAGCTGCAAGGGAAACACTTGCGTCATCAAGTGTTCATCACGAAAGGTCCAGGGAGTCAGCTTTTGAGTCCTTTCCCCATGGTTCGTGAAGGTTTCCTCTCAGAGAGTAAGATGTTCACTCTCACTCTCCAGGTTGCAGGTTTCTGGGTCTCGCTCAGTCTTTTTTACCCCAGATAGTTTTCACCAAAAGTCCTTACTCAGAAAAAGCTTGCTGGTTTGGCTTTCTCTGTTTTAGCTGCTGCAGCTTCAGCTTGGCTTGCCACATGACAAGGGGAGGCCATCCCCCACATTCCTCGTCCTTCAGTTTTCGGCTGCCTTCGTCCAAACCTCACGTAGGGCCTCCTCCGAGCCCCTTGACCTATCTCCCAGGTTGCAGGTTTCTCTCTCTCTCTTCTGCCTAGAGTTCTTCCAGCCCTGCATATCGCAGCTGCTTCTCCAGACTCGGACCACCCCTGGCCTGTCTCCTGGCTTGGCTCCAGTGCCAAGTCTTAAGCCCACACCACTGCCCCTCCTGGGCAGTGGGGGAGAAAAAAGCCCCCTAGCCTTGGCCACAGGTACCCGGTCCAGTTAATATACTGTCCTGGGCTCCCCGCAGCCTGGCTGGGGGGGGAAGAGGGCCTGGCCCTGCCACAAGGGGCCGGAGGCCTCCCTCCTCTCACCTCATGGTCTCACACACACAACTGCCAACAACTTCTGGCTGTTGTAATATCTAATTTTCACAGGGGCGAAAAAACAGCTCCGATTGGTCCCTCAGCGGAAACTCAGCTGGGACCAACCATTTCCAGCCCCCTCCCCAGGGGGCGGCTCAAACCAAGACAGTATCCCAGCAACATCACTTTGGTTGTGACCAGGGGGATGTTGGTCTCTTTTCCCAGGTAACAAGCAATGGGACAAGAAGAAATGACCTCAAGTTGTGCCAGGGAAGGTTTAGACTGAAGGTTAGGAAAAAGGGCTGCCATAGCCTGTGGAGGTCAAAAACTAAGCAACCTTAGGTCGGGGGTAGAAGTGCTTTTAATACAGGGTTTGTTCTTGAAAACTTTTATCCAGTCTAAACACTTCTGCAAATGAGCAACTGCATTCAACTCAGGGTCATGTGAATTCTGTTTTTCATCTGAGGGTGGTTATGCATATATGAGATAATGTGGTTTCTGCATTTTTTAAGCAAACCAGAACATACCAATGATCATACATTCACACATTTATATGCTTTCACACAAACTTTCATACATGATGGCCATTACCATGCTCTCACACAAATAGACTTTTGAGTTTTATTTTACTGTGTCTTCTGGTTATGAAATGAGAAATTGGTGTTCTTGTTTCTTACCCTTAGATTAGCAATATCTAACTATGTGTTTCTTTGGTCCTTGAATTCCTGCTTTGATGAGAATATAACCTGTAACACGTAAACATATTTCTGCTTCATGTTCAATTTAAAATTCAAAAAACATATAATTTCTTCATAAACATTCCTATAGTTCAGAGGTAATATATACACTCCCCCTATTTTCAAAGCAAATATGCATCTCCTGATGTTAATTGGCTTTGGATCTAAGGAGAACTTGTCATAGTTACTGCAAAACCTAGTAAAAATTGTCACAAATACAAAAACTTTATTCTACTAGGGACTGCCATCTAGGTGAACAATTTAGAAAACAGTTAGCAAGGTTACTCTTGAATTTGTTTACATTACTAGACATCATGACTTATTTAAATAAAGACTTGCTGGTTAAGGTATCTGGGCTAATTAATAAAATCTTTCTTATGTCCAGGCATGCATCTGAAAACAATTTTGGCTATTAGCTATGGAAGAGTGTCTTCGTCAGCCTTGCCGTGTTCTGGTTGTTTCCTTTCTTCGTGCAAAGAAAAAAGAAAGGGGGGGCGGTGGCACCGCTCCGCTCCACTGTTCCCTGAGGCCGAGTTCTCATGGCTCCATGTCCCCTCCGCCTGCCAGGCTCCCCACGAGTTTGCAGTAGATATGCTCCACGGCGCAGCGGCGGCAGAGATGCGGGCGCCCCCAGCCAGGTGGAAGCAGGGCAGGTGGAGGCTCTGCCCGTTCACATCGCTGGGGAAAGAGGCAGGCGGCTGGGTGGTGGTGGCAGGCAGGGCCATGAGCACCATTAGGGGTAGCTAGGGCCACGCCCCGCCCCGCTCCACCTCGTTCCCCAGGCCACTCCCCACACTGATGGACCTGGTACCACCGCCGGCGCGACTCCCCCGGCCCCATCACCCTGTCTGCCGCCCTCACCATCTTCACCAGGGGCTGTCCGAGTGGCAGGGCCGGGCAGGGGCAGCATCTTCACGCTCCCATCCCGCTGCCTCCCTCAGCTCTCTGAGTTCTCTGCGTTATGGCTCCACCCACCACGGTGGTGTGGCGCGCAAGTTGGAAATGCCACAGCGCCATGTTGGATACATGTGTCTTGCGTGCAGAGCCTCTGCTGCTAATCCCAGTCCGCGCTCTCACCGCGCCGTCAGAAGTTCACCAGCACCTGTGGTTGCTCCCATTGCGTGGACACTACGTTGGCTGTCTGTGGCTCTCTCAGTTTTCCGCCACCTGAATCCCAGCGATCCTCATTACGGTCCCAGGCGGCGAGGGCTTTAGATGCATTCGGGAGTGCCAGAGCAGAGAGATCGCCATCATTCTATGGCCCCCTTTCCCCATGTGGGAAAGTGTTATCTTCTCCTGCCGAATCTTGTGGCAAACAGTCAAGATGGTTTTCACTAGTTTTGGAGGAGTGTTTTTTAAGAGTCTCAAAGACTGTCCTCCATGGCCCGAGAATTTTTGCTGCTTGTATATCATTCTGATTGCAGTGAGCCCACAAGGATTGTTCATCAGTCTTCGAGCCATACTGTTTAAGCAGGTACTTCATGACTGAATAAGCGTGGCTTTGATCAGAAGACAGCTGCACCCCCATTCCCTAATTTTATGTTTCAAAATCTATCCTAAACAACTTAACTAGTTCATGGCTGCTCACCTGCAGTCCCACTGCAGTGTGACAAATTCTGTTCACGTTCCGTCTTCCAGTTCAGCCATGCACCACTACCGGGACAGGAAGCACTGCTATTCCTGCCAATGCCAAGGGCTCTGGATGGCTAGCCTCTAAATATTAGAGACCGAGGCTCTTGGCCCTACTCTCGGATGCCATTTGTAAGTGGTCAATAAAACTACACGATCACAGGTCGGGGGTACAAGCTGGAATATTTATTGAACACGCGACATGCAATATAAGGGTCAGGTGTGTGGGATATGTTAATGAAGAAGATGGGTTGTGCTAACTAGGGGATGGGTTATGCTGACTACAGGATTATACAATTCTCTATTGCAATTACACAAGGTGGTTAATATTCTCCTGAAGCGAGGACCACATGGGGGGAAGAGAACAAAAGGGTTTCTACATTGTCTGACATCATCATCACAAAGTCTTTCATATCTTGCTGAAAGAGACAGGACAATCAAACATAGCTAAATATTAACAGGTCTTGTGATGAAGCTCCTCAGAGCAAGGAGTTTCTCCCAGCTCCTGCTGTCCACAACTTGCTACATAATCCTATTAGTTTCTTTGCTGCTGATAGTTGAGTTTTGGATTCCAACAAGCAGAGGTTTTGCTAGCACAGCCTAAGTCCTGTGTCTCTTTTAAATACACATTTTCCTTCCTTGTTTTTCATGGTCTTGTATCCAATACACTAGAGAGGAAGACTGCTTACTCTTAATGACACCATTTCATGTCTAACAGTACGTAAAATTTAATGCACAAACATGCAGCAAAAGATTGACAGCTGCCCATAGGCAGCATTTAGTGTCACAGATGCATAACAAAAGTTTAGAGTTTTGAAAGAGGAAAAAACAAATGGAAAATACAGACCTTATAATATGACATCCCTTGGAGATTATAGAATATAAAACCAGCTTAAACTCAGTTCTTGTGCCCTTAAGGATTCCACTCTGATTTTCTCCTACAGTTGACTTTCAGCCCTTGAAACAAAAGCAACAACATCTGAGCTTTCTCATGAAGTTGCTGAGAAACGAAGTATCTTTATGACAGTTACAGCAACATGGGGAAAACATCCCTATATTCACACGTAGAACAATGGGTTTCCAGCCATCAGAATGTGCTGTTAAGATTACTACCAACTCAGTGCTCAGTAGTGGTCAGAAAAGCAAATGAATGCTAGGTATTACTAGGAGAGGATTAAATAGCAACATGGATACTATCATTCTCAAATTTTGCAGGATCATGGTTGAACACCATATAAAACATTGGCCTTCCTTTTCCTTCCAGAGATGGTTCAGAGAAGGACAGAGATAATGATTTAAAATATGCAATGGTTTCTAAAAGAAAAACAAAAAAAAACCTGCAACAAATTAGGATGCAACAGAGGTCTGTAAGATCTGTGTATAATGATAGGAATAGATAGAGAGGAATTGATTGCTCTCTGCTCCTCTCAATGTGAGGGCTGCAGGCCTTCAGTAAAGCTGACAGTTGCCTAGTTTAGAATAGGCAGAAGGGTCTGATTATTCCCAACAGCACATAGTTAAAATATAGAATGTACTATCATATGTGTTATATGTTAAAATTTTACAACAAATGTGAAAAAATGACTGGGTAAGTTCATGCGCAAATCCACTGAGACAGTATAAATGCATATAATCCCTAAGCTAAAAATGTTAGACTAGACCAACAAGACTAGAATAGAGTAGACTGTTTCTACTCTAGAAGGGACCTAATGAATAATCATCTAGTCCAACTGCCTGACCACTTCAGGACCGACTAGAAGTTAAAGCATATTATTAAAGGCACTCCAAACGCCTCTTAAACACTGACAGGCTTGGGGCATCCATCACCTCTCCAGGAAGCCTGTTCCAGTGTTTGACCACCCTGACAGTAGAGAAATGCTTTCTGTCCAAACCTTCCTTGGCAGAGCTTCGAACCATTCCAATCCACCCTGCAACTGGATCCCAAGGAGAAGAGCTCAGCATCTCTCTCTCCACTTTTCCTCCTCATATTGCTGCAGAGCGCAATGAGGTTGCCCCTCAGCCTCCTTTTCTCCAAACCAAACAAGACCAAAATTCCCAGTTGCTCCTCACAGGACACACCTTCCAGCCCTTTCACCAGCTATGTTGCACTCCTCTGGATTCAGGGACCTTCACATCCTTTTCCAAATTGTGGGGCTCAGAATCACACACAGTACTCAAAATGAGGCCACACCAATGCTGAATACAGTGGGATAATCACCTCTTGACCAGCTTGCAGAGGGATCTAGACAGATTGTAGCATAGGGCAACAATTCATGGAATGAAATTTAACAAGTCCAAATGCCAGATTCTACACCTAGGACAGAGTAATGCCAGCCATAAGTATAAAGTGGGAGAGGAGTGACTGGAAAGCAGCTGTACATAAAGGGACCTGGGAGTGCTGGTCAGCAGCAGGCTCAGTTTGAGTCAGCAGTGTGCCCTGGCAGCCCAGAGTCCAAACACAGCGTGACCAGCCAGTTAAAAGATGTGATCATCCTCCTGTATTCAGTGTTGCTGCTTGTAAACTGTTTGAAGGTTGAGCTGGTTCTGCTCTTGTTCTCTGTCATTTTATCACCATCAGAGACAGGATGCTGGAGCAAACAGATCTTTGGACTAGCTCAGGCTGGTTCTCTCTCTGCTGTGCTGTGCAGAGGTCCCTACAGCCTGGCAGATATTTAATGCTGCCATAGATGGATTGTAGAAAAAGATTAAGAGTCTCTGTTCTTCCATGCAGTGAGGAACTACAGACATCTTCCTAATGCTGTAGAAAGAAAAAAACAGAATCAGAGCAATGGTAAACATTAAAGGTGCATGTAAACCATATCATTTTTGTTAGGCAAATTCAGAGGGTTATTAGGCTCCAAATGTATCCTATTGGAACTCATAAATATAGCTTTCAGATACACATCTTCCATTTAGCATGCATGAGAACTTTAGACAGCAACTGCATGCATTCAGAGATAAAAGAAGAAATAGATGTGAAAGCAGAATTATTTCCAAAAGCACAGCTAGAGACAGCCACCTGATTAGATAGAGTACCTTTAATTTTTTTAATAAAACTGGGGGAAATGTAAAAAGAACAGGTATCCAGCAAAATCACATTTCAAAGCAACTAATTTTCTAATAAAAGAACATACAAAGGAGCATTCTCTTCTTACTGAATACTAAGCTAAGCTGATAATCTGAGTGCAAACCATTGTCATTGGCAAACACTCAAAAGATTATTATTTCAAGAATTTTAGCTTTGCACTCTTGGTATCAGTCTTAGCTTATGATGAAAACCTGAAGTTGTGAATCACACAGATTAAGAGTTTTTCGTTATGATTAAATGCAGATAATGAATTCATAAATCCATGCCAGTGGCAATCAGAAATCCATGATTCAGTTTAGAGCTATGAATTTCAGGGGGTATACTTTTTAAAAAAAGTTTTATCATATATACCCACAATTCCAGAGTAGGTCTATTCCTGAAAAAAATAGGAGGACACAGTCAAAATGTCCTGTTAATTCTGATTAACTCTTAATCAATATTCTGTTCAATTTAGCGGGCCTACTGTTTTTTTTCCTCAACTGTAGGCACTTGTAGGTTTTGACTTTGATTAAGAAGTACCTATTTCTGCAGTTCCTTACTTCCTGAAGTCATCCATAAAGTCAAGGAGTTTTTTTCTACATTTTTCTATCTCACTTTCCCCTGAGAATCTTTCAGTGCTTATAGACAGTTATTGGCAGCAGAGTTAACTCGATATAGACCCATCATTTCTTTTACTCCACAATCAAGAGATGCCAGCATAATATTTCTCAGGACACAATAATTTCAAGCAGACTTAGCCTTTAATGCTTCTTTGTGCAATTTCTTTGTAAAGCAAACTAACTACATGGAAAAGCACAAGATCGTTGAGTACAAGATATGTGAGTGAGAGGGAAATACCCAAGCTTTCTAATACTGAAACTGTTTGAAACAACCAACAGCATCATTTACTAAACTGACACTACTTTCTAAGGAGTTTCTGACAGCTGTTATACGTCTTTGTCAAAGAGCCTAAGTGACACTCGCAGGAATATAAGTAGTTCTTTATCACTAATTAGCCACGCCATTGGCTTTGAGATCTTTCAGGAAGAGTTATTGTTTTTAGAACATGGGTTAATATAGAGAACTCAAATCTTCAGGGTTCATTGCAAGCCAGACATTCATACAAGGAAGAGATGTCATAGTAGGAGCATACAACAGGTTATAGAACTCATTAAATGGAAAGGAAATAGGCAGTAATTTCAGCAAATCTGTCACTCATGTTAAGATGGTCTATAAAGCATTTAATTTTAATGCCTCTGTAAAACTGAAAGCAATAAAATCAAAGCTATGCTGGTCCATACTCTGTTCCCTGTTTCCAGGCCATGGGCAGAAAAGCTGTTTAGAACCTCAGAATTAAGATGCCTGTCTTTTCCATAAAAGGTGGAACAGTTCTTCTGGTAGCCAACCAATGAGCACTGGATGAGAAAACAGAAAAAAATTAAGCTGTGCACATTGATGAAATTAAGTTCTAAAAAAATCCCAACAAAAAATTAACACCATCATGCTTGAAGGAACTATCCTGTTTATTCAACAATGCAGCATTGTTCAGCTTTAAGCAAAGTCTAAGATGTCTGGGATTTTACTTTCTGCTGAACCCAAAATAAAAGGTTCAATTAGTCTTAGCCAGATTTTAATGGCATTAGCATAAAGCGGAGAATTTCCATTGAATTAATGGTCTGAATGTCATTTCAGAAAGCATCCAAGCTAGATGAAGGCTCATAGTGGTTCCAGAGTTACAAATCAGAAGGCCAGCTTTAAATCCGAAGCACTAGTCTTTCAAATGCTATTCCTTCCCTGTACCCTGACAATCAAGTAAATGCAATTCACTCCTCTTCACCTTCCCCCCCGAACCCTCCAAACTTTTCTCCCTGGCCTTTATTTTTACTTGAATGAAAACAGGAGATTTTACCTCTATGAAAATTGCCAACAGAGTGTACCTGACAGGAGTCATGTAAGTCAGCAGTTTGCCTCACAAACACAGATACTGGACATCAACAGGTACCAAATATTACTTTGCCCTACATGGGACAAGGACATGTACACCATGTCCACTTGCAGGAATTGAGACAGCACTGAAACCTTCTTTTCTTTCTGAAGATGCAGAAATGAGGCAAAGAACAAGTTTTTAAGACAGAGAAAATAATGAAAGATGGGTAGGGCTGGAGTCCCGGCTACTTAAAGTAGGGCCATGAGGAGTTTCCTTACCTTCTCCTCCTTCCTGAAAAGAGCTCTACAGAACATAAGACAAATAAGTCAACTGCTTCTTCCAGGATCTGCTTATGTTACTTTCAGAAGGCGATGTTTGTTGTAACAGATGCCTTATTTAAGATGTAAAATCAAGTGAACTGGAAAACCTGTATGGAACATTTTTTTTTACTCTTAGCTTATGAACCAGCTGCATTCATCTCCAGACATTTTATGCTGGTATGGGCAGGAGTTTCTTTCTCCATCCAACTGCTTCTCTAACCTGTCATAAGGACCAACTCATTCTAACTTCTGCCTCCCAGACAGCCTCTCTGGATCTCACATTCAGTGTTTTCCACAGTTGCAAAGTAGTAAATAATATTTGTGGAATAGTTAAAGAATATGTCAGGGCACAAAATTTTTCAAAGAAAAAAAATATCAAAATCTAGACTTGGACAGGTTTGTTTGGGTTTTGGTTTGGTTTTTTGTTGTTGTTTTTTTTTACATTTTAACCACTGTGAGACACCTTATTGTAGGATATTTAGATCTTAGTGACCAGGTTTTTTAAAAGTGCAACTGTAATGTGCAGTATCTAGTCCTCTTCCTCCTGTTTTTTTCATAATACAGTGACCATCACGTGCAGAATTTCACATCACTTAAGAAACTGGGCCTCTGGCACTAAGTGTTTAATTTCTGCCACTGCTGTAATTTCCTGATGCCTGTCTCCCTGAACTGCTAGTTGGTTTACCATCTGCTTCTGTGTGTGCAAATCTGCACCTCATTGATGATTTTTTACAGGTTTGTCAAACTGCCTGGAGTTCTGTGGGTATCACCAGAACACAACAGTAAAGAGGCTGTCAAAAGAGCATTAAATATATTACATAAATATGACATACAGGATAATTTTTATCAGGTTTTTGTTAAGGTGCCTATGGCATAAACCAAGACAGAACTACAAACAACAGAATTTAAGACTTGCTTTTTGCATGTAAGACTGGAGTGAACAAGCAATAACGTAAAAAAAAAATAAACATCACATTTTTATTTTTCTTTAAATGAAACTACAGGCATGATCCCAGCCTTCAGAACTATAATGTCTGTATAAACAAAGAGCTGTTTCATAGAGACAAATGAAGACTTTTTTTGTGATGATATAATGCCGGAGCGAGTTTTTTACAACATAGCTCTGAAGATCTGGGCAAAACAGAACTGATACATAAAGCTGTCTCACAGCTGATCATCAGAGTAGTTCTATGGAGCTATTCCATATGGCTTTAGAGCAGCCATTTGGGTGCTCTAGAGTTTGCTCATGCTCATTTCTATTTGCATTGGAATTTGAAATTAGAGATATCAGTTTGAAGTAAAAGTAGTTTTCTGCATCCTACACAAGTAGAAGTCAGTCACATTCACATTTCTGGGCCAAAGCTGGAGATGGTAATAGCAAGTCATTTGCATTGGAAGCAACAGTGTCCAGAACTGGACATTGTTGTTCATTTTTAGTTCAGACAGTGTCTCATTTAAAATACATTTGGGGCTCACTGGGATTCAGGAAGTAACGTGAAGTGTACCTACAGCTGCAGCAAGCAGTAAAAGAAGGTGAATCAGGTCTGCCCTGGATGGCAATGTTGCATTTCATAGTTGTTTTCTCACTACTTCAGATCCATATATAGAAAAATACTGAGTCATCTAAAAATTAAACTAGATCTTGCCTGTCAGTCAGATTAAATGCTCAGTTTGTTCTCTTAGATGTTGTTTTGCCAGATACTGCCACTTGCTACATCTTTGCTGCTTTAAAAGTATTTTCCATCTACGCAATGTTTTGCATATTGGATGAAATGCATGAATGACAGGAAAAAAATAAGGGGTACTAAAAAGCTTATGATAGGTTGTGCTTAAGAAGAAATAAAATGTAACATTAATGAAGGTTAGGGAGAGAAGTGGAAAGAGAATGTGGAGTGATCTGCCCATATATTCTGGCTCATGTATTATTTTTACTTTTTTTACTTTGAAATCACTCCAGTAACCAGAATTGCCTGACCATTAGATACTCAATAAATATTACATTTGGTTCTTCTTTAGCTTTACCATTACTTTTTATCCCAATCCTGCACAGCACTACGACCTATCAACTCCTATGCCTGAAGTCAAAGTATAAGCTGGCTATCTTTGTTGCTGTAGTATGTTAATATTCTGGTTGCTAAGGTGATACTCTTATTGAGTTAACTCTTGCTGAGTAGTTTGCCTTAATAACACGACAACAGTAGTCAGTGCAGAGTACTGTAAAATAACAGCTAGATAATTCCTGATTTTTCAAGTTGAGTTCTTTAAAATTAGTATAGACATCCCCAAGCTACACTGCATTTTGCAGCACAGCTTATAGATATGCTTCATTTTCCACAATGCCATCAGAATAAAACAACTAAAAAATTCCCCCATATACCAGAAAACACAATTTGTTGCTCTCTCTATTTTTTTTTCTCCCCCATAATGATAGTAATATTATAGCATTCTGGACACCACTTGAAAGGGAGAGAGAAACAAACATAGACACTTTGCTATGTTCACAGGGTATCTATTCATAGCGGAATGACGTTAAAGCCTCAGTAAGGAATCCACAATTCTTGGGTGCTTGAGTCAGAACAGAGATTAAGGGACAGGAAACAGCCTTTTTGGGAAAACAGCCCATTTGCCTCCTCTTGTCCCCATCTATCTGCACTTGTATCTCTATTCAGCCAGAAAACATTTCATTGAACACCCATCCCTGCAATTTAGAAAAAGCATTTAGTGACACTATCATCTTCCTACTTTGTACTTCTAGCCACCTACAAGTGACATTGTGTTTCTCTAATAGGCCATTATGTTGTCTGCTCAGAAGCGTTTGATACAATTCCTTGCAAAAGTATGAGATCTCACATTTGTTTCTATCTTTCTAAAATGTATTTCAGATGTTTAATTTTTTCTTTTTTTTTTACTTTTTTAATGATGCTACTTTCAAATGAAAGCAGTTCTCCACCTGCAACTTCAGATCTGTTCTCCCATATTATGATTGATCCTTCCTAACAGTCAGGAAGGCTGTGGTTAAGTAACTTGGTTTTAACACTCTCCACTCTCCCTGTATTACCACACAAAAAGCCCAGATTCAAAGAGAAAGTCCATCCAGCTCTCACTATTCCCAGAGATATCTGGGTAATTCCCACTGAATGAAGGGCAAGAAGTGATAGGGGTCTGTTTTGAGAGCTGACAGACTTTCAAGAACAGCTTTTAACCAGATTCAAATGAGGAGTAAGGATGTTCAGAGACAAGCTGCAAGAGAACAGTTCTTTCCCTAAATTGCAAGCTATTATAAATTTTTTAAATAATTTTCCTTATTCAATTGTTAGTTGCCATTAAAAATCAAAAGTGAAATCAAAACTCATCTGTCTTCTGGGCATAGCAGTTGCACATCCATGTTGAAAGCAGAGGGAGCTTTCATTTTATAACCTTATTTCATAGGCATGCTGCTTGAAGATAGCCCTGAAGATAAACCAGAGCAGCCAGGTGATGCAGACTGGGAACTGCAGACCACTCCAGGCATGTGACAGAGTGCAATCGTCAAGACAAGCAGTTTTAGATGCAAATGAACTCTAATATTGAAAGATGTGAACAGCCAAAGTTCTGAGCTATCTGCACACATGAAAGTCACTCTGTGCCAGCACTAGGTGACATTGATGTAGATCACTGTGTATCAGTGAGTAAAAGGTTGAGGGGAAGATGGGATTGTTTACTCTTCTCCCTCTTCATTTTAACATTCAGCCTAGGAGGGATTTTTGAAGGAGGAGTTATCCAAAGCTTTGTGTGTCTAGTGAGGAGTCTATTGAACAAGAAAATACTCTCTCTACCTCTTCCCTGCTGATCTAAGAACTTCCAAATAGCACACAGACAACATCTGCATGATATATTTCCAAAGCCTTTTAACTCATCTAGATCAAGAAACTCCTGGAAGATAAGAACATCGCTTCCCTCCATCCAGTACACTCCTGGTCTCCTGAAGAAAAAGAGGGAAGCAGAAATGGCAGGTAGAAGACCCTGACCTATAGAGGAGCTCCATCCTGTGAAAACAGGCATGAAAAGTAGAATGATCCTCCATAAGATCAGGCTGTTCTCAATAGATTTTGATGGTAGGGTCAAGTCAGCATCTTTATACCCAAGTTGCGTGTTAAGTGATCTTTCCTTGGAACTTTTCTATTCCCTG